AGCATGTGTGGCACAACACTGCATTTATGTAACAACAGATCAGCCTGTATAAGAAATAAACAAAAACAAGGTATACAAAACATGTATAATTAACTATAAAACTTAAAAAAAAAAAAGGTCGACGCGGGCCATCTTAACACTTTCAGCATTTTCTTGAGCTTTTCAGCACATTGTAGGGAAAAAAGGATTGCATGGGATTCTGAAAAATTTTTGTGACCTTGTTTTGGTTGTGATTCTAAAAAGGAGAAAGGACACGCGCTCTCTATTGATTTAAATAAGAATTCCTTGATTCGTTCAAAGTCATTCTCTATCTTAAGCGAAGTGAAACTCCGCAGTTTAGCAAGAACTATATTTTCAATCTTTTTTTCTTCTTCTTTCCGTAGCTCCCGAGGTGGGTTTTTACTTACTTAATTATCAATTTTTATTTTATCAGGTTTATTATACTTCGATACTTGTACACCTCCAGTTCATTGTTGATTCTAATTTTTCACTGCTCTATCTTGTCATCTCAATGTTTCATCCTTGGTCAAGTTATGGCATGATTGTGGTCCTTAATTACCTGTTATAATTTGTGTCCTCTATCAAAGTCCTATCTATAAATCTATGGTCATATTTGAACTTATTCTGTCTTTTAATGCGGTGGGATGTGGATTTTTTGACTGTAATAAGTGTATATGCTAATAATATTTATGATATCTAAATTAATTTCTTAAATACATAATATTTAAGATGTATTATTAATAGTTTAAAAATTGTTTCACGTTTATGAACCAACGTGTTGATGAATAAAGTGAACAAGATTTTTTTAAATGAATGAAATCCTGAAAAATAATTTATGATCCAGGCTATAACGTCAACTGTTTTATAGTACCTGGTGTAGATGGAAACGTGTGAATAATGTGAAAGAATAAAGGTCTTTCTTAACCCCTGTTGGATAAGTTAAAAAATGGAAAACATATTATTAAACCTTATATTATAAAAACGAAAAGAAAAGCTCGTTAGAAAATAAGATGCTCTCTCTATTTACCAAAGTAAGAATTCGTTTTTATTCGTCGAAGAATGTGCCTTCAACTTGATTCCCTATCTTTAGCGGATTCAATCGCGATCGCGTTTGAGGAAGTTGGCGGCAGTGCGGGCTAAACACGAGAGTGATCCCCCTCACACCGAATCGGCAGCTAGCTGGCAGGCGCGACGAAAGAGGCAACAGCGATACGAACGCGGCGGCCTTGGCCGATCATTGCACGCGAAGTCTGGGTAATTCAGTCAAGGTTCGTGTCGATGAACTTGGTCGCGCGTCCCCACCGCCGCCGCCAGGTGGGGCTACGGTCGGGACTCGCGGACCAATCGCGCTCCAACTAGTCGAACGCTATTGGCCGCCGCGCCGGCATTGTTGTCAGTGACCTCCAACTTTGAATTACGTTGAACCCTGAACGCGCGGGCTCTCTCCTCTATTCCCTTCTTCCCTTCAGGTAGTCGCAATATTTACTATACTTCGCTGGTCGGGCTGGAGAAGAGCCCAGTTGCCATCCGGACTTTCACTCTTAGAGGTGGTGTGGCGCTGAAGACGCAACGCTCTCCGATATTATTAGGCAATACTTATTGGACAGTCGGCGTTTCGCGTGAATGTTTGTGTTGTTGTATAATGATGTGTGGATTTTGGTGAACACTGTTTTGGATAACGCGACGTAATCGTGACTCGGTGGATTATTTCCTGCGGGTACAATGATTATCTCGCCCGACAGCAGCGTGCATTCGGTGCCGCAATTGCCGGAGAGTACCACGGTCGTCGCCATGAGCGAATCGAGAACGACGGAGCCCAAAGAACCTGCGCTGAACTTAGGTATTGCGTAACTCTAGATAAAAATCGAAGCCGTGAAGGCAGCCCACGCGCGATATGGTTAAAAATACATTTGTGACAGTCGGTCACGTAGTCTTTCAACCTCTAATTAGTTAAAAATATTTTTAAATTTACGCCTTTTTTTGAGACCGTAATGGAACGGCGAAAATAGTATGCGGTCGACACGGAAATTGCGCCAAAATCTAAATGGATGGAGTTTTTTAATGATTTTCTGAAATTAGAAGTTATTCTTTCGTAGGTCTAACCTCGATGACAAAATGTACAATAGATAGTACATGAAAATGTTATTAGCGGCGAATTCTATAGGCAAGTTAAAAGACGTAAATTTGATGTATCAACTTGGAAAAATTTACATTTAACTTGATCTATCCGCTGTGACTTAACTCTGCGCCAACAGTTATTTTTTTTAAAATTCATACTGATGTAATGGTAATGGACTCGCAACTAGCTACATAGTAAAATTAGAGAAAATTTCCATACAGACCCCAAACTTTACGACTGAAACACTACATGCAGAACGCAAATTGGAATACATTTTTCATTACATAATTTACAAAAGGAGTATCTTGCGGATCGTCGTTTTAGTGTTATTTGTTGGTACTAAAATTGGGTAACGTTATTGGTTGAAGTTCACTTGAAAGAATTAAACAAAAGATACTCTATGGTAAATGATTTTTTATTGCTTTTTCTTTAGGAATTTATTTTTCTGAGCATATATTGACACAGAATTGATAAAGTTGGACTAATTAACACAGAAAGAGGAATTACATAAATAAAAAAATAGATAAAAACAGAAAATAAACAAAAGATCATTGGTGAAAGTTTTTTTTATTTATCTGAATAAATTCAATGATGTAGCAACTTAAATTTTCGGAAAAATTCTGTTTTTCATTTTCTTTTTTTTTAATGCACTTATATTTATTTCTAATCGAAATCCATCCCAACCGTCATCCGGCTCGGCTGCGACCAATTACTGAGTCAACGACCACCATACCACCCCCATTATCGGTTCGTGGAAAGCGACGCGGGTAACGCGGTTGGAAAAAAAAACACGACCGCCACTATTTTCAAAGGCGCACGCGCGGCTAGTCGGCCGTTTACCCGGGACAATGCCCCCGGCCCAAGTTCATTACACTCCGGATCTGGATCTATTAGTTCTCGGCGATAGTTTACACCTTGCGTAATTTCACCGCGTGCGATGCACTCTCGTGCGCGTCGCCGTTCCACTTTCTCCTCCTTCTTTCGCGTTTCTCTCGTTCTCTCGCTTGCGTAACCGGTCGGATCTAGTCGGCCAGCGGGCGAGGTGCATCATCATCATCTTATCGGGTGAAAGTAAACCGCCCGACCGCCTTTCTTTTCTTTCACTCTCGCCTGTTATCGATAGATCGCGTGGTCCGATCGTTTTCCAACGCTCACCACGTCAACTGAGAGGAAACGTTACGGATTAACGCGTAATGGCGTCGCCCTCGGTAGAAGTAGTTTTTCGCGCCCTTAGTCCGCTCCAAAATTTTAAAAAATATGCTTTCATTGTCTTATTAGAGTACGTCAATTGGCGCTATTTCTCGTAACGCTGCTCGTATGTAGCATTATCTGAATAATTTTTGACATATATTTATGATTTTATATTATTTATTATGATTTTGGGGAACAACAAACTGTTCAATAATAAACAAAACACAACACGAATATAACACAATCTTAAACAACATTGTCTAGTTCTATCGCATGTGGTTCCAAAACTAGGACAGAAAACCTCTGTTCTATTCTGTAGCCTTCGAGAAGTAACAAATTGAAAATCAAATGCATTATAAAAACGGGGGGTCAAATGTAAAATCTAGTGGTGGTAAAATCAAACAGTGCAAACACACTTTTCGGGTCTCTGGTAAACTAGTTACCTCTCACCTTAAGTCAAACTCCAGTACCAGTTAATCTCAATTTGATGGTTTTAATTTAACCGATACGGTGATTCTTAAGCTCAGAATTTTGCAAAAACATGTTTTATTTACCCGTTAAAAATAGAGTTTGAGCTGGTTCTGCGAAACACCAAACTATACGGCGTCCAAAAATTTTTAAAATTCGTCGTAACTGTTGTAAAGAATCCCATGACCCCCGATTTTTTTTTAAATTTTAGGTTGGTTTAGGTTTGTTTTTTTTCAATTGTTTCGGAATATTTTTTGCTGCATTTTTGTTCTGAAATAGTTCCGAGGTTTCAAATATTAAAAATGATTATTAGGATCGCCATAGGTGCAGTAGGAGCAAAAATTACCTGCGCCAGCGCCGCAAGTACCACTAGGCAGATAAAGCAGCTGCCTGAAACCCGTCGAAGGACTGTAATTTAGCAACTTAAAAGAATAAAGTCAAACATGTTGCCGGATAAAAAAAAATGAAACCGGAACTCCTTAGGAGTTAGACATAATGAGCTTTTTGTTGCACCTGACCGGTCAAATTTTTTGAGTTTTAATTGAGTCGTAATTTTTATTGGGATTCCCCGAATCGCTAAATCATATTCGGTATTCTTTGATGTTATATGTAAATTGAAAATCACATAAATATTATTATTAAATAATAATAAATAACCCTCTACAATCGATCGATCGATCGAATTTGACTAGTCAATTAAGAATAGTTCAATTGACCAGCCCCACAACACTACAGATTATAGAACTTACCTTGAACTACCTGTTCTTGTGAGAATATTTGCTTATACTTCAGTTAAATTGACAAAAAATCCTCTTTCAAAATTCGTACAAACGTCAAAAAGTTGAAAGAAACAGTTAAGCAGTATTCTGTATGAAGACAGTCAGCAAAATAAAGTTAAGAAAAGATAAGATAATTTTTTGGAGTTCAATTGAGGAGTTTAGAACACAATCCCGATTTTTTTACGTTGCTCTTTCAAGTTTAATATTCAGATTCAGTATTCGGTTTATTTAATTATTGGCTTAACTGTCTTCATGTAACATTCAAAACAGTTCTGACTGCAAATATGTCGCAAAGGAGCTTTGAGTTGATTGGATTATTTGGCACTTGTTAATTTTTAAATAGAAATTGAAAAGTGTCAGAGAACAAATGGCAAAATTCCAAATTAATAATTCCGAAAGTTTTTGTGCGAATCACTTGATTCATGCAGATTTCATTGTTGTAGAGTTTGACGGGACGACGGTACTCTGCCGAGTATGCGGAGATAAAGCATCAGGTTTCCACTACGGCGTACATTCCTGCGAAGGATGCAAGGTAAGTGTCTTTCCGTCTATACGTTGTCTTCCATCCGACGAGGTCACCGCGTTCTTGGACTACCCGGCGCCGACATACTCTTCGGATGGAAAGAACTACTTTATGCCGCACCATACAGAAGCGACAAAATGATTGGGTACAACATTTTCCGGTTGGGATTTTTTCTAGTCGTAGTAATGTATTCCCTCTGAGGCCCGCGGGAGACTCGAAGGGGTGTACGACAAAATTATTAATTCGTAATTGGAACGCAAATTTAGCTGCAGAAGCGTCTATAAGAAAAAAGGCTGAAACTGGAATTTTGTGATAAAAATTGAGGCAAATTGTACAATAGAACATGAAGGCTAAGTAATAGTGACCGTTCTCCTTCTTTTGCTCAGTTATGAAAATGGGAAACTTTACCTACGTATTTTTATTGTAATTATGCACACATATTATTATTATTTGGGGTTCAAACAATATTTTTTAAATTTTAGCATAAAATTTATAATATTCTAACTTCTTAAAAAAAAAACCTTAGCAAAAAGCGCATAACTCCAGAGTGATATACATAGAAATTCAAAATATTCTTGTCTTAAGTAGTCATAATAGTCAGCAGTATATTATGTCAAAAAAGATTTAAAAGATTAAAATTTTTTTTGACAACTAAATTACAAACAAAAAAAGCGAAAAAATATGAAATAAATAAACAATCGCTTATTACAGTTTCTGCTATTAGTACGAATTTGTATAATGCGTCCCATCCTCAATAAAATTTGGACACACAAAATCTAAATTTTTTGTATTTCCGAAGCCATTATAGGTGAACTTGATAGGTTTATGCGCATGCGTTTTATACTGTATTGCTTTTTTTGCTTCCCCATCACTCGTGTACAGCTACCGAGAATAACTTTCAAAAATTTAACGGAAACTAGTCTGAAAAAATATATGTATTGTCAATTTAACGCATTTTGTTTCATTCGCGTTTACCATTTAGTTGAAAATTGTAATATTTCGAATGATTGTTGTCGTTGCTCAGTTGCGATAGGGAAGTTATTATAACGCATTTTTTGTGACCAAATCCTAAATAGCATATTAAGTTATGAGATTGTGCAGAAGCATGTATTTTTTTGACACTTCTGTATGGTGTTGTATGTTCATAAGTCAAAGGCTAACATCAATAAAATCCATCACTAAAGGCTCGAAAAAAACACCCAACCTTGATATTTAACACGCGCCCGATTTCGGACATCAGGAAGCAACGCGGAAATGGTGTCGTTTTCAAGGGAAACGAACGATTTGAACGTAGCGAAAATGTGGTTCGGGCCGATTTGGTGAGCACGCGCGAGATTGTGCGCGTGACGGGCAAAATTGCTGCTAGTTCAAGGCCGGTTAGCTCGAATGTGAACGGCCGATGTGCGTGCTGTCGATGATCGCGGAACTGCCAGCGGCGTAGACTACGGGATATATTTGCGATTACGCTAAACGCGCGTCTTACGACGTAGGTAGCCGGTATATAGTTTGGATCAACAAAAGTTTTATTTCATTGACATTTCTTGTGTTAAATTTTGCTGCCGATATGTAAACTGAAGAGTAGCGCTTTTTTGGACTTTTGCATCTAACTATGGCCGAAGTATATTTGTTTCCTCGTCTAACTAACCCTTTGAACTTACCGTCTTTCAAACAAACAGATCCATTTAACATCCGATCTTCTCTCTTGGATATATTATAGTTTTTGGATATTTTTTGCGATTCAAGAGATCTAGAGGATCAGTTTTTTAAATTTTATTTTTTTTGATATTCCAAAAAATTTGGCCATTTCAAATTTTGAGTATCACCCGAGTCCATTAATGAACAAATCTAACCTTCATCGACAGGAAATAACCAGAAAATGACAAACTGCGTCCGGTCATGATATAAGTTTATTTGGTCCAGATTATGGGTAGGTGATACAATGAGGTGACACCATTCTTTCATTTCTTTGATTTCTGATTACGTGATCTATGTGGAAATGAAACATTATTTAGTCTTCCAAACATTTTTATAAGAACGCCAGCATAAATAATTTTGCTTTTTCGTGGTCTACAAAGTTTTGATTTGTTTTCCCTGACACAAAGACAAATGGCTTATCCACTAAGTTTCATATGACTTGTTGTTGTTGTTGTGAAATTGTTGAAAAAGATGATTTTATAATTGTAATATCGCCAAAGGTACATTATAGGTAACCACACTGGGTTTTTGAGTTCTTTCGTAGTCTCCAATAGAAAATAGTATATTATGCAACAAGTGCGGTAAACGGCATTTGACTCACTAGTTTTTAATAAACGAGTGACTTAAAAAGTTTACCGAACGTGTTGCATACTATACTTTTTCTACGACCGTTAGTTTTTGGATACATTTTCGCAAAATTGACAAACATTAATATTCAAAGCGTTTGAAATATCTCCGAAAACATCCGATTGTTCCCAAATCCGTGCGGTAAAATCCCGGAGATGTCCGAAGTGGCTCGGATTTTTGGGAAACGAAACTGCTGTGGTAAAGTGACGCTTTCCGCATGCTAGATCGGTGGGTAATTAGGTATTTTACAGACGGGAGTACAGAAAAATGATTCTAATATATAAAAATTAGAGTCTAAGAGATATGTAGATTATAACGTATTTGCTTTCATGATACGTATGCACTTGATATATTGTGAAAATACTTCAACTAGTCTTAAATTAAACAGAATTGAGTAAGAATAATTTGAAGAAAAAATGCCAAAAATATAAATCCAAAAAATAATTTTTAAATTTTGTGAATACAATCAGTGGTGTTCACGAATTCCATTAAATAGACATGAATCAAACAAAGGAATTACTTTTGTGACTGCCTTACGTTTTTTAATAATTGTGAAGGTTTAAAAATAGACTGAAATAAAATTGTCGCATCTAAAATATAAAATTGTTTTTAAAACTAAATTTAATGAATTTGTCAAAAAATATATGTTAGAACCCCTTGAGAAACGAACTTTAATATAGGTGACATATTGCGCTTTTTGACTCTGGCACGTAGCACCGTTTGCCGCGTTTTGACCCCGCCACTGTTCTGTCCGCGATGGTTGAATTCAAGGTTACTCAGCTAAGGTCAAGTGTGTGCACGCAATTGTTTTTGGCTGTTCGGCCGGCAGCGTTCTCCTCCACAGTCGGATTTACCGATTAATATTCCGTTTTTTTTTGTTCCTGTCTTATCCGTAGGCCGCGGCCGACCGAATTTCATTGGTCGGCTTTCTCTACCCATCTCTCTCTGTTTGAGTTTATTCGCCCTCTGACAATCGTTCTGGTTCGGCTTCCTAGTTCTGGTAGGCCTTGGCGTTCGTTGTTTTGTATGGTGCTATTTTTTTAGGATCGCGGTCATCGATGACGTGGGTTACTCAGGGTCACCGTTTTACGCGGAAATCATTTTGGAACAAGGAAGGTCGTGCCTATAGCAATACAAAAACATAAAAACGGCGATCGATTAACACCCGGCGAGGAAAAAAATTAAGCGAATCCATTCATCTGGTAACACTAACGCCCCATCACTTTCACCGGGGTTTACCTGCGTAAGGGCCCGAGGCATCTGCCCTAGGGCATACCGCGTGCAGGCACGCACACAAAAGTAAAAGTGGTCTAGTGGTCCATTTTTTTGCCGCGCATTTTCGCCTCTCGCACCGCCCGTTCTACCTGCGACCGAGCGCCTTGCGTTGTTGTCAAGTTTTGAAGAAAATCCGAAAATGGCAGTTAAATCGTCACAATTTCGTGATACAATTGCTCTACTTAGGATTATCGAAATTGTATTCCCTCGGAAAAGTTTGGCAACACCGCGGAACCCACACTTGGCAGTTCAAGGACGGCAGTTGCGACGTTTGCCGCCAGTCACCACGAAGAACACCTGCCGGAGCGTTTTTTGCCCCTGCTCGTAACCCCTTATTTTGTCGATTGGCGAGTGGGCCAACGTTGCGAAGCGCCGAATATAAGGGGCGAGGGTGAGAATTATTGCGGGTCAGTGACGGAGGTTCCTAAATATTACGAAGCCGCATACCGAGTGTTCCAAAAAATATGATCTTTCTTTGTGGACGCCTCTGAAAAAGTGTTTTCAAGTAATTGTTTTGGTGTTCAAATTTCAAAAAATTATCTATTATGAGAATTTTCGATGTCCACAACAATTATTCCTATATTTGGCACAAAGAAATATTTACTTTTTTTATTTACTAGATACATACAATAGATCCGCCATTATATGACATCAAAATCAAAAATTTTAACTGAAATTAGGCGAGCAGTTCCAGTGATTTCCTGCTGACAATGTAGGTTTGGTTATAGTATATTATGCAACAAAAACAGCATTTGACTCGCGAGTTTATTTGACACAAGCGGAGGGTAGCGGAGCGAGTGTTTAATAAACCAGTGACTTAAAAAGTTTACCGAACTTGTTGCGTCCTATACTTTTTCTACGACCATTAGTTTTTGGGTACATTTTCGCAAAACAACACCAATATATTCACTGACATGACCGCCAGAATTGACAAACATCAAAATTCAAGACGTAGGAAATATCTCCGAAAACATCCGATTGCTCCCAAATCCGTGCGGTAAAATGCCGGAAATGTCCGAAGTGACTCGGATACGCGGGAAACGAAACTAACGTGGTAATGTGACGCTTCCCGCACGCTAGATCGGTGTGTAATTAGGTGTTTTACAGACGGGAGTAGAAAAAATAAATTTTTTATAATTATTTAAAGGCTATTTTATAAGCTTTAGTTGCTGAGTGAGGTTATTTTTGGTTAGTGATACTTTGTAACTTGACAAGTCATTTTTTAGACGTTGACTGCTCCATTCTACTTACTATTTGTAGAAAATCTGTTTTTTCCGAGTGCCCATTTTTTTTACAAGCAATGCAGGCATAGGTAATTTTGAGATAAAAATCATACTGCAGTTGTTTCTTTTACACATAAATTAGGAGTATAAAATTATTTAGGTTTCGTTTTAAGCATCTCTCCAGATCTT